AACTCTGAGTACTTTTCAAAAAATATTAACTACTTTAGAAAATTCTAATAATCTTACCGACAAAAAAATATTTACTCTAGCCATAGTTTCATCATTTTGAATAGGCATCAGCCATTCAACACCTTCAACATGTAAAGACCTACTTGGTCTCAATGTGTGCTGATTGATTAGTTGCAATAGGCTATAATTAATTTAATTACTCTGTAACTAAAGATTGTTAATGTAATAACGATAAACTGATGTTTAATAAATGTCTCGCATTTAATGCCTGTTTGCGATATAAAAAAAAATTAATTATTGGTAAAAAAAAAAAAACTCTTTTCCACTTTTCTTTCTATACTTGAAAATTTTCTTTTTAGGAAATTTTTGAGTTGTCTACTCTTTTCTTTCATCTTTCCTCTTTTCCTCTCTCTATGTTTCTTCTCCACTTCTTTTTTTTTCTTTCTCTATCCTCTCCTCTCTCTTCTATATACTTTTTTTTTATCTTTTACCCATCCCTTTCTCTTTTCTTTTTTTTTTCCTACTAAAGCTAGGTTTTTTTCCTTTTTTCTGAAGGTTTTCTTCCCTAGGCCTCTCTCTCTTTTGAAAACTTTGTCTCCATAACATCACTTCTCTGGTCAGTTGATTTCCTTTTCTCAAGGACCATATCAAGAAGTGGTAACTTTTCTTAAGATGTGGGCTTCAGAATTTTTCTCTCTTTCATGGTTTCTTGGAAAAAGAATGGATGGCTCACCTTTTTCAAAAGATTGACATGGCCATCATTATCAAATCCAGTGTTGTTTACTAATTAGCAGTTAGACTAGATACACTCAAAAAATCTTTGTACAACTATTATTATTTGAAAGTATCCAAGGAATTGCAGCCTAGAGTATTCAGAGTAAAATGGTAGCCAATGCCAATGCAGCTAGCAATAAGTTAGGTTAGTTGCAAGTGTCATACTAATAATTGGAGAACTTAGTAGAGTAATATAGAATGACCAGGAATTTTAGTTACCTTCACAACACAAGCTGGTGATGACAACAAAAGTTTTTTGCTTATCCCTTCGACAATGTAGGTCTATTGTACAAGGTTAGGTTCCAGAGCTACTAAGAAAACCAATATAAACTCCACCTCAAGGACACTTTTGTCACACTTGAAGCATGGATGTGCCAAAATCTTTTTGTGACTTGGAGATAAACCTGTATAAAGTGATTGAAGCACTTTCATACAAAAAAGTACTTATTTCTTACCACCTTCAACACTATTCTGCTTGCTATATATCAAGTCATATTTGGAAAGCAGGCATATCAATCCTAATTATGACTTGGAGGCCAACTTGTATATATTGGCTGTAGCACATTCATGTGATTAGATATTTATTTACTTTTAGGTAGTTAGACATTATTCATAAACATAATATAGATTTTTGAATTTCTTTTTGTCTGTATTCCTTGAATGGTGCCAAAAGAGTATAGGGGTCTGGCCCCATACAAGAGCCTTGTGTTAAACTTTTCCTAGCAAAAAGAGACATATGTTATGCTATTAAGTATTGTATCTTGTTTTGCAAGTGAAAGTATAATAAATATAATTAAGTGTGATAGCTATTTGCTCTTTTCAAAAAAAAAATTAATTATTGATTATTGCAAGTTAAATTTAATAATAATAAAAAACATATACTCTTACTTCAAATAAATAATCTAATTATAATTCTTTTAATATTAATTAATTTAATATTGACAGGTAATAATAAAAAAAGATTATAATAAAATTGTATTTGTATTGTTAGTAGTAGGAATAATAGAAATGATAGGATTGATATAGCTTATATAATATAATATAATATAGGTCATCTCTTAAATAATGATACATCAAAACTATATAATTTATTTAAAATAATATATTTTTATTTTTTGAAAATAACTTACTTTTGATCAAATAATAAATAATAATCTTTATACTTTTATCTTTTAAATCCAAAAAACCATTAGTCAATACAATTTCATAATAAAAAATGCCAACAAATAAAAATTATTAAATTAAAGATTATAAAATTGATTATTGATATATTACATTTATTCCTCATAAAATAAACTCAATCAAAAAGCCTTATCATGTAATGCTACTACGCAAGTATATAGTCCAACATTATCGGCAACATGACACTTGACTATCAATTTCCCCCTTTTTTTTTTATTTAAATTTGTGGCTTTTAGATTAACGAATTTTTAACATGATTTGTTGTATCAGGAATTAGACAATCATCTAAACATGTGGAGTCACGTTGACCATGCCACCCCATTTTGAAACATTGGTCCTACAAAACTTTACCCTATTTATCCTATCCAAAACATAATAAATATATAATCCGGACATGTCGATAGCCTGTTGCGGAGTCGATTCTTAAGCGTACATGTTGTTATAAGAACAATAGGAACGGTAACGTGATATTGTATCACAATGCACAATAATAACAATATTGATGAAAGAATGATGTAATAATGAGTAATAACATGTAATGGGAGGGACGTGTCAACAAGGCATATAATTAGGATAGTTTATGTAGTCTTAGAGGTAAGTTTTAGGAAGTTCGAGGTCTGCGATTTAGAGTTTCGTTTTAGAACGCTTGTTTGTTTTTGGTACACTCGCGTTTTATTAAATAAATGCTATTCCGCTTTGTACAATAAACAATATATTATACATTCTTTAAAGTATAAATTGAATCCCTGCCACTACAGTAAAGTAAACGCCTTTAGGAAGAGACGCGACGTTACCGTTGTGCACCGTAAGAAAGTAACACTTGTAATCTTGAGACGTGTCTAGAGAAAAAGAGCGACAGTCAAGAAGAGATTAGCAAGTGTGTGAAAGTCGATCAAATTGTAATTCACCTTGGAGTAAGGATCCTAATGATTCTCTTCGATTCTGTATTCGATTCTCAAGTTTATATTAAATTTAATAGGTGGGATATACCCCACTATCATTTTTAATAGTGTTCCGAACCTCATGCGATTCTGTTCGATTCTATTCGATTCCAATTTTCAGAAACATACCTTGGAGTTAATTAAAGCCTTACCTTATTTAGTGCCGAAATCCCAGCGTTCGGATTATTTTCATGCGAAGAGTGAGCCATTTTAGCGATAGACTCGCCGGTGACGACAACAATGTGAATGCTTGTTGCCCTGTCTGTTTAGGTATTCACACCAATAACTAATACAAAAATAGCATAATAGAAATCTAAAAAAAATGTTTATCAATTTCGTTATTTAGTTTGAATAATATTAATAACAGGCTTTTAGTGATAGAAATGTCATAGATAAGATGAACATGTGAACAATAGTGAATTGGCATTATAAATCAAGCAGATATCAAGACCCGGACCTGTCATTATCAGTTTTTCCCTTTTCCTTACCTTCTATCTTATTTAAAAATCATGATATCTATTCCTTACTAAATACTTAACCATTGTAACATCTTCTTGTTCGTATCATGTGAATAAATCTTGAGTTTGTACCTGTTCCTTGGTAAAATGTATTTAATTTTTCATCTGTTAGAATAAAAATTTAAGAAAATTACTATACTTTGCATAATACTTACACTGTTTTTATTATAGATCAAAGTGAACTCAATATTATTGCTTTAACCAGTAATGAGAAGCTCATGATTATATCTGTTCATCACTATATTCAGAAAAATATACTTAGTGTTAACTGGCAATCACATCAGGCCACTAACCTTCACAAAGAAGTTTCTTTGACAACTGAAGTTGGTAAGGCAACTGTTGCCCATATTCTTGCTGAATATAATAAAACTGGAAAGGTTAAAGCATCAATACAAGGTCACTGGATTTCCAAAGACTTTCAAGAAGAATACTTAAGTACTATTCGTAACCTTATTTTTTCTGCGAACAAAGATGGTATTCCAACCACCCTTCGAACACTGGTCCTAAAATTATCTGATTTAGGCTTTTCTATTTCAAAAGCCCATCTTGCATGTCACTTAAAAATGTTTGGTTATTACTATAGTAAAGGGGAATGGCAAAATATTCTTTATGAATCTCCTCAAAATATAGCATATTGGGCACATTATTTCCATTGGCGTTTTAAAAACATTCAAGGTCAAAATGACATACCCACACTTCCAAAGGTTTTCCTTGATGAATCATATTGCCATATGCAACATAATTGATATTTAACCTGGGTTCCAAAGAATAGAATAGTTTATGAAAGAGGAAGAGGCCCTATGCTTGTAATTTTTGAAGCAATTGTTGTTTTTCGGAATGGAAACAGTAATCAAATAAAAGGTGAGTTAGTTCGCCAATCTCTTCTTATTTGAGATCCAACTGCGAAGCCAACAACTGAAAAAGGAAGAAAAAGAAAATGTGCAGAGGCATGGGAAACGGTTCCAGATGTTATAAAAATGGTGAATATTGCTCCTAATAAGATATACTATCATGACAATTTTAATGCCGAAGCATTTGAAAAATTTTTATAAACTTTGCGAAAATCTTTACTCTGATTATAGACCATGTGTTATCTATATGGATGGTGCAAAATATCATAAGCGTCATGCTGAAGCTGTACCAATATCCAACTGGAATAAACCCGTGATGATAAAATGATTAAGAATCCATAATGTCGAATTTGATGCAAATATTACAAAACCGGAGCTATATGAATTAATAAAAAATGAAAAACATTCTATCCCTTTTGCTACTGTTAATATTGCAAAAAGGTTTGATCACCAATTATTCTATACTTCTTCATATCATTGTGAACTGCAACCAATTGAAATGGTGTAGGGGATTGTAAAAAATAAAATTGCAAGTGAACAACAGTATTCGGATATTCTTTCCCTTCGAAATGCACTACTTTGTTACTTTCAGAAGGAAATAAAGTTGAATGTAATTATTTCATGCTGGAAAAAATGTTTGAACAAAGCAAGAAACTATTGAGAGATGATCGAAGTTGGAATAGAAGATAAAGATAATGACAGTGACAAGAACTTTGATAAGAATTTTGATGAGAATTTGAATGATTCTGGTTTTGAATGATTTGATACGGCACATCAGTCATTGTCCACGTGTAACTTAATTAAGATGATAATTAAAAAATACTCAGTCAATAAATTCATCATAATATTTTTAAAATAATACACATATATACATGATTTTATATTATAATATATATTTTCCCAAAAGTTAAGGTTCTTTTTTATATTAAATAATTGAAAGTAAGTTGTGTGTTTTATTGATCTATATATGTATATATGTTGTATCAGAAGTTATGAGATTACTAATATATTAGATTATATATTATAAAGTTAAAATAATTTGTCAAGATTTTGCATAATGTGATATTAGATTGATGAATATATTGCAAGTATTATAAATAGAAGTAGAGTAATATTAGTTAGATGATTAAAGAAAAAAAAAACTAAATAAAAGTGAATTATCTTGTCATAAACTTGTATTTGTAATACAATAATTAATAAACTTATCTTATTGAAATACTTGTTGCCTAAAAAATATAATGATAATCAATATCGAACCTATTGGTAAAGAATTGAGTTACAAGGACAAGTGGAAAGAAGAAAAGTTAGAGAATTGTCATGCTAACAAGTACCTTTGGTATTGCAAGTAAAATGACTTCAAACAATAATTAGCAGCAAGCCTAGTTTTGAAGTGGTAACAGACTTACCAGTAGTAATAATAGTATGAATTTAGAAAATGTATAAGCTTAATCTTATATTTGACAACATTTTAAAGATTAATAAATATCCTTTTAAGTAAATTTTTTTAAAAGTTTATATTATTTATTTAAAGTATATAACATATAATAATATAGTAATAGAAAAATAAAAGAAATTAATTTTATTTATATATATGATAAAGTTCAATTAGATAATAAAAAGGGTTTTCAAAAAAACTCTTTCCCACTCGCACACAATTACTATATTAGGAAACACAACGACAAGAAAGAGACATGAGTTCAAACAAAACTCTCAAAGATACCTTGACCTCAACTAGGCCCAACTACAACCTAAACGAGCTCACCAAAGGCATGGCCGGCTGGAAAAGCAGAGAAACAACACCATATCCAGCACAAAAACCAGCGAAGAAACAACTGAAAACTGAAGCAAAAAATGACAAAATGAAAGGAACAGAACAGAAACAAACCAAAATGTTTTCGAAAACAATTACAAACCAAACCACCCACGGAAAGGAACAACCAGACAATGAGAAACAGGACAAGGTCACAAAAGAACCCAAGAACACTACACAAGAACCTGAGACACACAAACTTTGGAGCGACATCTACGAACAGAAGAATCCCAACTCCTATGCAGGAACAATCACAGAACCCTCCACCAGACAGGCAAGTATCCCCCAAGAAAAAGACAACCCACACAAATGGACAAAGTAATGGTTTAAGTAAAGGAACATGTTGGTTATTAATAGTTTATCATTATTAAAGGAAAACTTTATTAATGGAGAGTGGAGCAGACAACTCTAAAGATAATTAAAGGA